CCTGTGCATATGTAATGTGTGATATGTACTGTGTGATCCAAACTGGACCAGGCTTTACTGCAGGAGCACTTGGGAAAGGATGCTGCTTATCCAGTTTTACCACACGAGATGCCTGACTGTGGAGTGCAAGGTTTCCTCCTGGTTCCCATACCTATCTCTAACAACATCTAAAAGCCTGTTTGACTCACAGCTACCTAAAGATAAAGAGAATGTCTGAAACCATACTACAGAACAAACAAGATACAGTTTGCTGAAGTTAGCTTGAGAAAACTATGTAGTTCCAATATTAACTTTCAATATTTATTAACTATGGGCTTGATAGCTAGGGAAAAACCCCTCTCTAATGCTACCCATATTGGACCCCTCTGCCATGGTTTTACAGGAGCCACTGTTCTGTCCTGTACCTGCAGTGTCCCAGGTTCACACTGTACATGACACAGTCACTCTTAGCAAGGCTTCTTTACTCAAAGCAGAATCTCAGTTATCCCCGTCTGCAGCCCTCCCTCAGAGCACAAAGCTTCTCACAGAGCTTCTCTAGCAGATTCTACTTTGCTGCTCCATAGACAGTTCTAGGGCTTTAGATTCACTCCTTTCCCAACATCCTTTGCAAAATTCCCAAATGACTGCTCATTCCTGTAACTTCCCCTCTACTATGCTGCCTGTGTCCCCTCCCTTCTCTCTCTGCCCTTCCCTTTCCCTCCTATTCCCTTTCATTCCTCTCTTCTCTTTCTCCTGTACAATTGTGGCAAGTTGGATTATTTTGACAGAGTGCAACTTTCAGGTGGGATAAGACCAGATGAATGATTCCCTGTTGAGTAGACGCCTCTTTACTCTGGTACTTCATATGTCACACTATCATCCTTCCTTTCTGGATGGTTTTTGGACCACATACACCTGTGTGTTCACATTCAGAGGTACATATACAGCTGCACTCCTACTCAGGCAGAGATAATGAGTAGAGGATTTAAGCAGTTCTGTAGCAGACACCAGCTGGGTGGCTTCTGATTCAATTCAGTTTTGCGGCATATCCCACCTATTGAGGGCTCAATTCCCAAACCTGCCTCTTCCATATTTCAGACGCCAATCACAAGTCCCAGGTGGTTTAACCTGTGCTTCTGAACAACTGGCTATAAATCAGGGTTCCCACCACCCTTCCTATTATGGCTTACATCTAGCTGTTCCCCCAAGCCTCTTGTGCCCATAGGTGGGGCTTTGGGAGGTGATTGGATCATGGGAGCATAATACTCATAGTGGATTATAAATACAAACTCATAGTGAGTTTACATAGCTAAATGTAAAGTTGGGAGTGGGTCCCTGGGGGCACGGCCTGCAAGGGTCTGTACCTCCCTCATATCTCCCTGATCTCTCTCTGCCTCCCCACTGCCATGCCAGGAAGGCACTTCCTCTCCACCACACTCTTGTGCCAGCCCATCCTGCTTTGAATCCAGCTGACTGTGGGTGGAAACCTCTACAAACAGTGAGCCAGGCAAATCTTCCTTCTTTAACTTTTGCATGTTGAGTATTTTTGTCCCAACATCAAGAAAAGCAACTAAGACACTCTCCTTAGGTTCAGTTAATTTGCTCAAGTGCTCACAGACCTTAGGGAAACAATCACTCACACTTATCAGTTTATTAGTAAGGATATGACAAAGGGTACAGATGAAGAGATCAGTGCAGGGTAAGCTAGGAGGGTAGGATACCAAGCTCCTGGGCCCTCTCCAGGCTGGTACATTCCAGGTGTTTAGCCTACAGAAGCTCTCCAAAACCGACCCTTGGAGTTGTAAGGAAACTTCATTGCTTGGGAAATTTCAGTAGACAAAGGGTCCAAAAGTAAAGGGTCCAAAGTCAAGCTGATAGTCTTAGTGGGGAAACCCAGCAAGGCCTGTCTGTCCAGATTCTTCACATTCCTTCCTCACTGAGTAGGTATACCCCTTCAGAAGGGTGGGTAGGGTCTTATCATTAATATCAGACAAGGTAAGCAAAGAGTTTCTTTATGACCAAGAGCTCCAAGTGAGGATTAGAGTTTTCAATGATTTGTCTCAGGAAGAAAAATTCCAGTTTCTCTGTCCTGCCCAGGGGAGCATACTATGAGTCAGGAAATATGTACAAAAATTTTAAATCTACATATCATAATGTCACAAAGCTTCAAGTACACTTGTGCAGTTTTTTGGTTTATCATCAGTAAAGTTTATAATCTTCAGAAGCTAGACAAGCTAAAGCAGTATTAACAAATTTATTTCTGTCCACCTTTAGTCCCTTTGGGCTTTGTTGTCTAAGATAGGACTGACAAGTAGTTTGGGGGTCAGGTAACACCAGGAGGGATACTAAATAAGCTATTTACTCCAAATCATCTGCCTAATGGAGAGGCAGAGCCATAATCACAACCTCGGCCTCTGATTTAGCTCAACAAATATGGCGCTGACTGTGCACCCACTGTGGGAAATGTAAATGCAGGGAGGACATAAGGAGTTTGAATGTCAACTCAAGAATAAATGACACGATATATTATGTTAAGTACCAAAGTATTTTAAAACACATGCTCAGAAGTAAAAAATCTCTAACAATCATATAACTCTACACTTTGGGAAAATTTTATTGATTATATAAATCATTATTATTTGCACTGTCGAGGACTGAGCAAGACCAAGCATGCTAGCACTGAGCTACAGCCCCCAACCCAGCTTTCATTTTATAAACAAAGCGGTGATACACAGGAAGCTGATCTGCCCTAAGTTTTAGCAAATCATTGCAGAGGCAGGGCATCCATGTGAGTGTAGCCCATGACCCCTTCTCCTTACTTCCTTTGGAAGTTGTTTTTCCTCTTTGTATTTCTTAATGTATCATTAATGGCTCCTAATTCATCTTCTGGCCTTTGGGCCCTACTGACTTGTTCAAGGGTACATTTTAGAATACACAAATAATACTTTAACTTCACGAAGTGTACGGTAGTCATGCTAAAAATGCTGACATATCAGCATTAAATATTGTTGAATACTAAAAAGTACATGCTGCTCAAATATTTCTTCTTATGTATTTTGATTTTTTAAACTCTCTTCAAATAATATCAAAGTCTTTGAACGTAACTGTTAGTTTTGTTTTGGTGTTTTGTTTTGATTTGAAGCAGGGTCTCAGGGTGTAGCCCAGGCTGGCCTGAAACTCTTGGCAATTCCCTGCCTCAGCCTCCAGAGTGCCGGGATCACAGCATGCACCACCACACCCAACTTCTAGTTCTTTAAGAACAAAAGTAATTGCATATCCCCAATATCAACATGTCACAATGAATAATTTTTTAATGTTGGTCAAAACCAGTGAACTGCATTTTAAATTATTTTTTATTATGCTAGAATTTTGATACTGGTGTTATTTTCACAACATACCTGACATAAATTTGATTTTCATTATTTGCTTTACTTTAAGCTATCTTCTAGACAACAATTATTCAATTTATTAAAAATCTTACTAGAAAAATGCCTGCAATACGAGATTCATATAATAATGGGGCAGGTCCTTTATTTATTCATTTTTTGTCTTCCTGGTTTCATTTCTGTCACAAAGTTCCCGATAAAAATTGTACTGCTGAAATGAATGACAGTGTCATAACCTTAGACATCAATGTCATAGCTCATTCTTTGGCTAAGAGATGGTCTTGTAAACTAAATGGACCAATGAGGTATGAAAGACAGCTGCTGGGGTTTGTAGAAAGGGTATGCTGCCTATTTTTCTGCAATGAATGCAGGGAGAGAGTCTCTTTGACACCAGATTGAAAGAGGATTAGCCCAAGTAGATAGTAGCAGACATACAGCTCCCAGAATAGTAGCAGGCTTCAGAAGAAGCTGACATTGTAAAGAGAAGAGAGAACAAGAGAAGCCAAATCTTTAGTTACACTGTTGAAGCCACTACTTCCAGTCTTACCTGAAGCCAAGGAATTCTCTTTTTTGCTTAAGTCAGTTACATTTGGGCTTTCAGATTGTTTGAACAAAAACAGCACTGAATGACACTCTATTAAGGGCATCTAGTGTCAAAAGAGTTTTGTTCATGAGGGCAGACAGCACTAGCCACCCACACAGAAGCAGCATTCTTCATCCTTGTTTAATAGAACCTAATTTTATTCATAATCTAGGCAAATGATAGGTTTCGGGATTTTCTCCATGTGCCCCAAGATGCTAGTGTTCATTAATTTTAACCAATCACCTGTTTATTTCTTCCTTTGTAATGCCTGTAAGAATACAATATAATCATGAAGGTGTGCATGGAAGAAAGGGGAGGGGAGGAGGAGAGAATGAAATAATTCTGTTACAAACATTATGGAACGTTTCCCCATTCCTAAAAAGGGGAGACAAGACAGGACTTCCTTTCTTTTGCCGCTTTCAGACAATGCCCTATGAAGAACGCAGTCACATTAGAAACAAAAGGGAGGAACAAGCGAATCCAAGAGAAAACAGCAGGCTTACCGAGCCACAGAATGCACTGGTTCTTGACTAACCCAGACTTTCCCATTGTCTGCACTGCTGACATGTATCCTATGAGTCACCCTGACTGATTTACCCACCAATAATATTGATTGTTTGGGGCTAATCTCACATTTCCAAAAATCAGTTATGAGACTGATTAAAGCCAATTTGAAGAGAAACAGATACCTGCACAATTTTAGGCATGTTTTGTGTCATTTTAAGATGTGATTTAAGTGCTTTCAAGAATTGAGGTGACCCATTAGTACATCTGTAGATTGTATTTAAGTAGTTCATATACTTTAAGTCAGACACAAAAAGGGAAAGCTGGCCTACTAATGATGAATTAGTGCCCTAAGTCTGTTTGTTCAGGTGGGTAGAACCAGAAGATACTGGTAAGGTCATCTGAGAAGGTGGCCAGGACAAATGCCCACGGTCTTAATGGTAACCTTACTGCCAATTCCTAAGATTTTTACTATTTGCTAGATCAGAAATTAGTACTAGATGCAAGCAAAAAGAAACATGACACCTGGCCTATCCTTTTTTTTTAAGTCAGGAATGTTCCATACACAACTGCGAAGTGCTGTGGATGGCACCTGGGTCAGCAGGAGATGCTAATGGAACAATGCCTTCGTGGACCTATGTGGACACTTGACAGCAGAGGACAGGTGGAGTTGTTATGGGCCACTTGGGTTCACACGTTCTGGTTCATCTGCTCGCCACTGGCCAAATCAAAGGAGGAAAAAGAAAGGATTTATTCAAAGGTAGCTCTGAGAAGATAAAGCAGATCATTAGCCTTAAATCAAGAGCTGTCCTTGTGTAGGTCTGTTGGGCTCTTCTATAACAAGGAACCTTGTAGGAGGAAAATACAATGGAAAAATAGACATTTTTTGTCTAGTTCTATTCCTTCCTGGGCCCAGACCTGTCCCTCTCTTGACTAAGGGAATGAAATTGGGCTTGACTCTCCCTCCTGTGCATATTCTGTCCACTCTTCTAGGTGCAGGAGAAATGCGGGAGTCATCTATGCCCTAGGCCTGAGAAAGCTTGGAAGCCTCTGGACTCCAAAACAAAAAAAATCTTTTAACTTTTTATCCTCCATTTTTCAGTGTCCAGTGCAACTCCCTGCTTGCTTATTTCAACCCTCAATCTAGAGGGCCTTGGGTGACACACCATCTGGCTGGCTGTCTCATGTTGGGTTGGTGCGTGGATCCCACCAAAGGTAGCTGGAACACAAGCAAAGGGAAGCCAGGTGCTTGAGCCTTAAAAAGTTATCGCTAAAAATTGTGAAGCCAAATCAAAAGAAAGCGAAAGTCAGGAGATGTCTAACCATTACACCTGCTAGAAGGGCTCTCTTACTTTTAAGCAACAATAGGTAAGAACTCCCTTTCCTAACCTCTGCAGAGCTACTTATGATGGTAGGAGTGACACAGGAGTGACTCTTTGATGCTCACAACTTTCCCTCCTTGTCTCTGAAGACTCTGCCCATTAACCATCTGCAGCCTATCCCTTGGGGCCGAGGTAGCTTTCCCCAGTGATGGTCAATTGGCCCACGGCCTGTGTTAGAAGGAATGTGACAGGATTAGAGTTAGTGTCATAATCCCTTCTTGCCAAATTAAACCAATATCAGAGCTTTAAAAAGAGTGGGGTGGGCTGGGGATACAGCTCAGTGACATAAGTGCCTGCCTGGCAAGTGCAAGGTCCTGAGTTCAATTCCCAGCACCCCCCGCCAAAAAAGTGGGTCTTAGGCTGAGTTTACCTAGAGTCCATTGTCAAGTTTAATCTTGTCTAATTTTGTAGTCAGCTAAAACACTAGAATTTCGACAAATAGTTACAAAGCTTACAATCTAACATAAAATAAGCCAGGAAGAGCAAAAGCAAATCCAATCTGTACAGTAGACTTGAAAGAAACATAGTGGCCAAGTTAATTTTAAAAAACCAATATTTCTGTGAGGCAATCTCAGTTCTGCCATGAATGGCATGGTACTTTGCGTGAGGGCAAAGGCAACATGGCCCAGAACTTTCTGTGCCTGGGTGCAAGCAGAGCGCATGATGACCGTCTGTAGGGAATAAAGAGAAGTGGGCCCCTTTATAGGGATGGAAAGAAGGCAGGAGACATTAGGCAGAAAAACTTTAATAAATATCTGTAGTCAAAGTTTTCTGACTGTGAGCGTCCAGTATAAATTTTTGGGTAGCTCCAGGTGTCCCCAGTGTCCCAGTACCTGCAAGAGTCCTTGTCCTACCTTATCTCTTGTCTTACCTCATCCTGTATTTGCTGATGACAGCCTCAGTGCTGAGCTGAGTTCCCTGCTGAGAACAGTGCTTCTGCTGGCAAGCAGGTTGGGGGGTGGGAGAGGCAGATTGGACTAGGACCTTACAGGTACATCCACCAAGCATTAAGAGTCTCCTCTTTTTGAAAACCAATGTGAATTATCATTTAGGAGAAAGCACCCACTTTACTCATGCTAAGACCAAGAATTACAGTGAACACTGTTAGGATTTCATAGGTACACATACAGGATTGTAAACAATTTTGGATGCAGGGTGCAAAAATTAATGTCTATCCCACCAACTAAGAACATCCATTTTTGAGCAAACATTGTCTCTTACTGACCATGAACTTGGTTTTTGTTAGTTATATGACTACAAGCAACACACAAGGTAACAATTCAACAAAAAATGTAATTGCTTTTATGGCATATTAAGACAACAATCATGATTGACTGCATTATACTAGGATATGTAATTTAAAAATTACACTTTTAAAAATATGGAAAATCATATGATAACAGCTTGTAATCAAAATTATAAAACAGCTTCAGATATTTAAGTAAATATGAACTTTATGACTTAATCTTTCTAAAAATCTAATCCTAACAAGACAGTAGACAACACAAATTATTTTGACAAATTTAAAATGCCTTTTTTTAAAGTTCTGTTGCAAATTTTACTAAGAATATATTAATGTCTTAAGCTTTATTATTTTATACAAAGGTACTAACATTATCCCTGTGGGCTACATTTTAAATTTTTAAAATATTCTTCTTAGAACATACTGTCTCTAATTAGAAACATTTTACTCAAAAGTTATACTGTTAATATATACTATCAAATTACAACAAAAAAGTTTAGAAACTTATGCTACCACACATAAATATCCATCATTTTAAAACTTATGTTATGACTCATATCTGTGTCCCAAACTATGTCATATGTAGTTTTAAGTGCTGTACATCTAGGAAAAAAAATAATATATTTGAGGTGGGAAAAGCCCAAAAATATTTGTTTCTGAAACTTACAGGACTTTTCTGTGGAAACAAAATGATTTAAAATTTAAAACCTCATTTTAAGTATTGAATTTAAGCAAAGACTTGCCAGTAAAATAAATAGCAGTGATCTATTACAGAGAATCAAGTGAGCCTTTTAGCATCTCTTAAAATTATTAGCATTAATTAAACCATATAAGCAATCCATTAACAGATAAGTCGTACAAAAGATTTTCTTAAAACTACCCACTACTAGAATATTAAATGGGTTGTGGTTATATAAATTATTGATTTTAGGATGTTTTACAATGAACAGATATAACTCTTAATCGTGGACACATTATTTAAAGCTCATTTTTAACTTTGCCCATAGTTTGACAAGTGTTCATTTTTAGATATTTATTGTCCTTCTAGAATAGTTATTCAAACTTAGATGTCTTTTGATGTTATAGACTCAAATATATTTTAGGCAAAGAAAACATGAATTTATATTTAGCAAATATCTGTAGTGTTTTAACTTAATTATAAATTACTCAGATGTTTCATTTATATATCCACTTAATTTAAGTTCTAACAATTACCCCTACATACCTCACAAAATGTAAAACATCTGACAAACACAAGTTAATGTCCCAAAACAATTTTTTTGTTCAGGAAAATAACTCTCGAAAGTTGTAGTCCATACCTGAAAATTACATCTACACATGCTACAACAGAGAGTTACTTAAAAATCTTTGAAGGGTTTTCTGGGGCTTTTGAATTTGAACATTTATATTAACTCCAATGAATTTTTTATTTTTTTATTTATTTTATTTTATTTTATTTTTTTGGTTTTTTGGTTTTTCTCCGGTACCGGGAACCGAACTCACGACCTTGCACCTGCCAGGCAGGCGCTTTGCCGCTGAGCTAAATCCCCAGCCCCCTCCAATGAATTTTTTAAACAAAATTTTGTCACCCAAAAACAAACTGTCCTGGGTAATACAGATGCGCATAAATGAATCCACTTGAAAGACTATAAAAGGAAATTTACTAGTCAAGGGCATTTAACATAGCAAAGCTCAGAAAATGTAGAAAGATGCACAAACTACAGAGGGAACTATTCATTCTACTTTAGCACCTTCTGGCTTCATCATTCTAGAGCTGTAGAAGTTGTTACCCATGCAAAGACGGACCCAGCTCTGTGAGGAAATTGTGAAGAACTACATCACGGCTAGACAAAATTTACTCAGAAGAAGTCAGCGCCTAAGACAAAGCTGTCTATTCCTCCTAATAGACTTAGTACGAAAGCTCTCAAAGAGCCTTTTATTAGATAATGTGTAACAAGCATAACTTTTTAAGTGCTCCCACTTCTCTACTGTAATAAACCATAGGGGGTACCAATTATCCAAGTAAACTTCTGCTGAATAGAATCATCAGATAGAAGCTGCCAGTCTTGGTAAATGACTCTTGTGAAGAAAGCAGTCCTGAAGTCACTCTGGAAAAAAATGATCCCAAAACTGACACAGCTATGACAGAAAAGCCACCATAAGAATGGTAAATATGTAGACCAGAGTCCTTACCTGCTACTCACGAAAAGCACGACTTGTGGTTTTCTTCTTTTTTTTTTTTTTCTGTCATGTATTTAATAGCCTTCTTTGCTATAAAGCATTTAGCAAAATACTGCCTCTTGACACCCCTTCTACTCATAGTAGGAGCAGCCTTCACCTGAATTATTGCTACATAACATTTCTGGGAAGCTAAATAATTTAAATTTTTAAGTAAAAGAATACCCAATCTGTGCTGTCTTAACATACATGCCACATTTCCTCAGGGTTCAACTCATCCTGCTTGCTAAGTTTAAGATCCTAACAAACTCAAGAAATTTAATTACATTCCCTTTACGCTTTTCAGTCTCTCTTACAACTTTTGTGAAAATAAAAATACTGTTCCAAAAGCCAAAGAATTAAAATATAATTCTAATTGGCTAACATAAGCAAAATGCCGTTCTGAGGATGCCTTTGCTACATCTTTTAAGACATTTCCTCCACTGATGCAAGGAAGAAGGCATTCGGGTTTACACTTTCTTTGTTACTGAAGACTTTTTAAATTAGTCTGGTACCAATTAAACAATATACAAACAGAAATACACACAGAGACAGAGCATACAATATACACATTCATGCCAACACACATAAAACACATCATTTGCCCACTTTAAAAGTTACTTAAAAAGTTACTGTATGGGTGTGATTTCCCATTTTACAGTCTTCAGCAATACTTCATATTAAATGTGCATGTCTGAAGGTGAGAAATATATATCTCAAAAGAGACTGCACACCTACCCTAATAATCTGAGTTTGAATTTCCTGAAGCTTTTTTTTTTGCTCTAATTTATTACAGGTTTTAGTCAATTTAAAAGCTCTTGCCTCAGGTTCTAAGACATTTTCCACTGTGATAAAATTTAGATATAACTGGTTAGAAGTTTACACATCTTATCCTGGCTATATTGCTCAAGGCCTCTAGTATGAAAAAAAGAAACCAGTTTAGGAACAATATTCCTACTGAGAAAAACACAAGCACAAAGCCAAGCTCTCTGTAGGCAAATTTCTCTCTCTCTCTCTCTTTTTTTT